ATCTATAAGAAACAACTCTTAGTTTTGCTCTAGCAAAAGTTTGCAACAGGCCCATTCTGTACTGTGAGAACTTTTTGAAGCCCTTCTTTGTGCCCTCCCAAAGGAAGGAAATCTAGATTAAAATATTAACATCAACTTACCTTATCGCAAAGTGGTGAAGTGATGTGATTGAAATTGATTGTAATGAAGAAACCAATGAAGAATTTGGAATAGGTAAAGACTCATCGCAAGCTTACCTCTAATCTAGATATCAGAATCATCATGCAATTCTGTACTGTGAGAACTTTTTGAAGCCCTTCTTTGTGCCCTCCCAAAGGAAGGAAATCTAGATTAAAATATTAACATCAACTTACCTTACCGCAAAGTGGTGAAGTGATGTGATTGAAAGTGATTGTGATGAAGAAACCAATGAAGAATTTGGAATAGGTAAAGACTCATCGCAAGCTTACCTCTAATCTAGATATCAGAAACATCATGCAATTCTGTACTGTGAGAACTTTTTGAAGCCCTTCTTTGTGCCCTCTCAAAGGAAGGAAATCTAGATTAAAATATTAACATCAACCTACCTTACCACAAACCTCAAGAATTTTTATCTTGATTTTCTACGATGAATTTCAACCACAACAGCGCAATTTAAATTTATTTAAACTATGTTTTTCATAAAATTGTATACCCTTCTTGCAGGCTATGATTGTCCTCCTTTAAAGAACCTATTTCAGTATGTTTCTCATATGGCTGGATCTACTTTAACTGCTGCAAATACCCTCATTAATGGAGAAGCAGATGTAGTTATCAATTGGTGTGGAGGCTGGCATCATGCTCAAAGGTACCCCCTCATTATTTTTATTTACATAAGTTTCTCTTATCTGAAATGTGGGATTGGTTTATAAATGAGGATCATTTTGCAACTAAACCATGAAAATGGTCAAGCCAATCTGCTGAAACTTTCCAAACCAATGAAAGCTTCGTTTTTTATTTATTTTTTTATCAAAAGCGCACGTAATTTATTAGTATTTAAGCAAGAAAAATGACACATTTGTCCTCCACTGACATCATCTCTCATATTCATTTCAGGGATGAAGCTGAGGGATTCTGCTACGTCAATGATATTGTCCTTGGAATTCAAGAACTAAGGAAGAAGTTTGAATATGTACTTTACATAGATTTCGATATTCATCACGGTAAAATTTTGTTCTATTTTCCACTAGATGCATCTTGTTCACCATAATATTCGCTCTTTGTTACAAAAATAATTGATACTCAAGCTGCTCCTTTACAAGCAGTGAGAGCGGAACCAGTGTATTTTAGAGACCCTGCCCTAACAGTCTAACCAGCGAAATTAGGTGAAGCTCTCTGCCATTGATGAAATCTAGGAAGAGGAAGAATTTTGAAAGTTTTATTCATTTTTTAGGTCTGATATTTAGTTATGACTGTGCTTTGATTCGGACGATATTAGGTATGAAAATAAATGAATGAGTATTTTGTCTCAACATATATTGTAAAAATACTAGGCTACAGAATGGGAAAAATAGAATACATTTTTTATCATCTTATAATGCAGTACTCTCTCTCTCTCTTTCTTTAAGAAAGGAATTTTCCAGTCCCTTCAACTTCCTGTGTAAGTAACACCACTCCTTGTCATAAGAAAAATTTCTCTGTAACAAAAAACTATCGATTGTTCATGAATCGTTGCTGATTCGTAATTGAGAGAGAGAGAGAGAGAGAGAGTGCTGTATATCATGTTCCTCATTGATTTAATGAGACAAATTAGTCTCTTTTTCCGCTGACTTTGCCTTTTTTTCTATAGGGAATGGAGTGGAAAATGCCTTCGCTTTCACACGGAAAGTTTTCACTCTCTCCATTCATAAGTATGAGCCAGGATTCTACCCCGGGACTGGCAGTTTAGATGATATTGGAATTGGAAATGGAAAGTATCACTCCTTAAATATACCCCTTAAAACAGGAATATCAGATGAGCCGTACATCAGTATGTTCCAGAGGTAAATTGTTTTTTACTTTGTGTTCCATTCAATTTTTAGTACATTAAAGCATGCCTACAAAGCTAGAAAATGGGGAAAAGTCAAGGGGAAAAAACTGATCCAAAAATGTCAGAGAAAACAGAGGAAGAAATAGTGACAGTTATTACAGGGAATAGTCAAAAAAATATTTTAAGATCAAATTCTGGTAGATGATGGGGTATACTCTGCTCATACAATAATCCAACTTGATTTAATTTTTTTTTTTTTTTTTTTTTTTTTTGCACTACATATTTCTAATAAGTATCCTTCTTATTGATTCATCTCAACATGAATTTATTTTTGTTCTCACTAGGATGCTAAATTCATAATCGTTTGTCTTTAAATTTTTTTACAGCATATCTGAAAAAGTGTTTGCAGCTTTTCAACCAGACTGTATTGTTGTTCAATGTGGGGCTGACTGTATAACGGGCGATAAGTTGGGCGATTTCAATCTGACACCGAAAGCTTTGGGTCTTTGCATCAAACATATTTTATCTTGGAAACGACCTGTCATGGTATTAGGTGGAGGTTTGTGATTTTTTCAGTCCAATTGATTTTAACCCTTGTTTCTTTTAAATTTCATATCCTGTGTGTATGTCTTTTTAATAATTAACTGTTCTTATTAGTGACATATAGAATAGAGGATCTAGGGTTGATCTCCTTAGATATAATCCTCCTTAATTCATAGTCGGCACAATGATAGTATATGTAAGGGTATGTTGTGTGTCACAATTTTTCCAAATTTTCATCTTTCCCCCTTCCTTTGTAATGCAATTGTCGTGTGAAAGCTGACTCACTTTATTGAATACATAGAAACAATAAGGAGAACCCACCTTCTGTAATGAGTTTGCCAAGTAATGTGATCCAAAGCTCTTTTCCTCTTTGAAAATCTGTGCAACTTTTCAAAATGAAGGTGTCTTTGTAATTTAGTAAAGCTCTTTGCCCAGAAAAATTGAAACGGAACTCCAGAAAAGGCCTTGTTGTTATGTTGTTCAAGAGTGTTGATGCAAGTCCAAAATTGGACGTCTCTGTATTTTCAACCAGGAAAAAGTTCTAAGCTTATTATGAAACAGTAGAGAGGTAAACACCCTCCAATCTTGGATTTTGATTCGGAGTCCGTATCAACTGGCCAAAATAAACTTTTTGGTTTTATTTTCCAACTTTGTTGTGGGGAGTGGAATAGCAGAATAACGATCTCTAAGTGACAGAGACAAACCTTTTTCAAGGGGAAATGGTCTTTCATTTTTGAGATTTCAAGTTTATAATGGGCCTGTTGCAAACTTTTGCTAGAGCAAAACTAAGAGTTGTTTCTTATAGAT